TGATAATTAAATAATAATTAGTTATATATCTCGCTTGATTATTTGAAATATAACTACAATTATTATGACAAAATACAATAATTAAGAATTATTCATTTCATATAGAGTCTCATTGTTATTATAATCATATATTGTTATGTTTTAAACGACTAACTACAATTAGTACTGAAAAGAATTGATACAAATACTTTTACTCTTTTGTTTCATTATTACTTCTTTTAGTTTGAATAAAAGATAACTAATAAAATCATTTCCATTATGATAATCGTATTCAATGTAAACTTAGTTATTTATCTATATTCAAATGATAATTGATAACAATATGATTTTATTTTATCATTTTCTTTATAAACATAATTATCATTCATCATTAAAATGAAAATATATTATCATTTGATTTTCAAATAAACTATTTGTTGTTTAATACCAATTTTCATTACTGAGTTTATTCTATCATTTGTTTCTAATGAAAATAAGAATAAGTTTCTATCATTATCAATAATCAATTAGAATTAAATATACCCTCTAATTTTATGTCTTTCTGAACATTTAATAATAATTATTTAATGTTCAGATATTCTTTATTATTTGAATACATATTGATGTATCAACATCTTAATCATCATTACTTGAATTAAATAGTATATTGAATATTTTTCTATTTGTCTAATCTTCAAGTTATTAAAAGAAAATAGAAATAGTTTATTACAATTATCATTGGATAATGTTAGAGAACATAAGTTATTTATTGATTAAAGAAAAGTTTGTTTGAATTTGGGTATAACTCAATGAAAAACAATTATAAAGGAAAAACAAAATGATGAACAAAACGAAATTTGAATTATGCATTGAATCCATCTAAATGAGGTTCGTCATCGTCTTCGATAATTGGATTAGCTTCTTCGTCATGTTGATAATCTTCGTCATCAGTATCTTTCTTTTGTTCTTTAGATTTCATGTAATAAGCCAATAAAACACCAATAATTGCAATAATAATGAAGAACAACAAGAAACAGCAAACTGTAACTATAATTGCTGTACTTTGTCCAATTTGAGGATAACATTGTCTCATATATGTTGAATAAAAGTATCCAACATCACATTCACAATTTACACCAATACAATATTTAGCAGTATAATTACTAATGTCAGTAGAAACTCCTTTTAATACACCATTTGTTTGGATTTCTGATTTTCCTCCAAGATAAAGAACTTTATTATTCATTTGTATTGAATATCCAGCATATCCATAAGTAGTAGTTCCAGTAGAATTATAAACTAATGCAAATCTTCCTGAACCAGTAGAAGTTAAATATTTATCAAAGAAAATTTTTACACCTCCAACACGTTCTTTTGAACCTTCAGTATAACCAAAAAGTCCAATTGCAACAAAAGAACCATATGTAGAAATCATTGGAGCATATAAAGTATTAATTGGAGTTATTGATGAAGAATTACCATTAATTTTAACATTTTCAATATAATCAGGTGAACTAAATGAACTACTTGGAGAATTAACTTGAATTCTTCCAACATCAGATAATACATTATAAATAACATCATGTTGTGACATAACCATTGGATCATAATCATAAAGTTGTGTTTTATTATCTCCAATACTAAACCATTTATAATATGTTAATATTCCACCAGTAGAAATTGAATAAAGTTCTACCATTGATGTGTTTTTAACTGCAAGATAATCATAACCAACACTTATATATTTACCACAAGCTTTATCATATTCTTTAACTAATTGTAATGTTTCATTATAAACAGTTAAATGTCCATTTTTACATACAACTGCATAAACTTCTCTTTTACCTGCAATAAATTCTCTATCAATAACAGCTAATGGTGAATATTCATCAATCCCACTAACAGAAACAGTATTATCTAATACTGGTGTAGCTTTAGTAATATCAAATATTTCTAAATTTTTATTATTTAAGAAAAATAACTTCTTTGAAGATGCAGCAATACTTGGTCGTGAAACTTCTGATGATGAAACACTAATAGAAGTTGTTGAAATTGATGGATGAAGACAATCAATTTTTAGTGCATTTCCATTAGAACTACTTGCTGTATAATGAAGAACATATGTATATTTATATTCTGATTCTTCATCATGAGTCATTGAATAAACAACTTCTGATTGTGGGTCTTTTTTCCAGTCAACAGACTCAAGTGTGATTGATTTACATAAAGTAATGTATAATACAAACAATAGTATCATTTGATTTTTTTTTTCTTTTCAAGTTCATCATTTTTTTTTTTATTAAATCACTTTTTTATTAAATAAATTCTCTGTTTCTTTTCGGGATAATTTTTTTTTCTTTATTTTATTTTTAGAATAGAAAAACAAAAAGTATAAAATAATAAAAATTTAACGTTATATATATCACAAAATAAAAACATAAAAATGAAAAAGGAAATGATTACAAGATTGTTAATCATTAAAGAGACATTGAATAATATCAGTATTGATGTTAGATTGATTAAATTTTGATTCAAGAGATTGTTTAATAGATTGAGTCTCTAAGTTAAAGTTTAAAATAGCATCTTTTAACATTAAGAGAAGATTTTTAACAATAATTGATTGATTTGAAGATTCTTTAAGGACAATAATAATACAATCAATACTTTGTTCAAATTTACCACTATATGCAAAAAGAAAAGATGTGGTAATATAAAGTTTCATTCTTATAGTTAATTCAATTAATTCATCAAAATAAACTTCATCCCAACGTTGGACTTTTTGAATAAAATTAGAACAATCATCAATATTATCTAATTTATGTTCTGTTTTTAAAGAATTTGAATATTTAATCAATAATGCTTTTGCATAAAGTGTTCTTCGTAATTTACAGAATGCAAGATCATAAAAAATAGGGAAGGAAGAATGAAATAAAGGATTTTTATCAGTAAGAAAATTTATAAGTTGATCTAATTCAGAATTAGTAAACTTAAAAAGTTTTTCACTAATAACTTGTAAAGCATAAATAGAAGGAGAATGATTAAAACAATAAAAGAATAATTTTAGAATAAGTTCTATAGGTAATTCATTTAATATAATTCTAGAAGATAATGCACAAGTAATATATTCAATAGGACATGAAATAAAAAGTTTTTCAAATGAAATAAAATTAAATCCAATTTTAATTACCCAATCAATATATTGACGAATAAATTGAGGATATTTAATTAATATTGCTAAAATATAATTTTGAAATTGAGAAGATTGAGTTTTAACAAGATACATTAAAATAAAACTAGCTTCATTAGAATTACAATTTGAAATAGTAGATAAAAAGTGTTTATCATCAGCAATATAAAATTTAATAACTTTAGCTAATTCAATTAATAATAAAACATGAATATATTTTATATTATTTATTGTAGTATTTTTATTTTTAATAAAATAATAACAATCATTAATTAATTCATCAAATTCATTTAATTTAAAATCTAAATTTGATAAATTTAATTTAACTAATGGAAGAGAAATTGCATGATTTAATTTACATAATTGTTGTGCTTTTTGAATCATTCCTTTTTCTATATAATATTTACTAACATTTTGAATTAATATATCTACAGATTGAGTAATTGTAAATAATTGAATAACTGAAGTTTCTTGTTCAATAGTTTGAGCATTAAGAAATTTATGACAAAAGATTGCTTCTTTAGGATGAATTTGATGAATTATAGCAATACAATATTTATTCCAAAGAATACAACCATCATAATTATATTCTGTAGATTTATTAATACCAACACTATCTTTTACTCTAAAATTAGTAAAGAAAGGAAAAACTCCATGAATATTAAAATAATTTGAATCAATTCCAAAATTGATTAATTGTGTTGGTGGTGTTTTATCATAAAGATTCATTAATGGAATTACTCCACAACAATGAACTTCATCAGTTAATCTACTAAATTGAAATAAATATTTATTATTAAGGAAACAAATTGAACTTCTTGGAAAACTTTGACATACATCAAAAAAGAATAAACGTTGATTATAAAAAGAATATAAACTAAGTGACATTTTATGAAAAAATCCTAAACAAGTTTTATTATTGAAATAATGTAATTGAACTGTTCCTTTATCTTTAATAATAAATAAAGATAATAAAGAAGGATCAATATCTTTTGTAAAAATATTAATACATTCTGATGAACGTAATGATTTTATTTCTAATTGTTGACAACAAACTGAAGTCATTTCTTTATCCATTTCAAATACTAATACAAGAAATGTTGATATTTTATTTACATTTGAATCTTCAGTACAAAGTAATGCTTCTTTTATTGCTATTTTTCCTTTAAAATTTAAAATTTTTAATATTGATGATGTTATTAAATCAAAGAAAATAATAATCCCTTCTATTGATACAATAATCCCAATTCCTGCATTTCTTGTTGTCCAAATAACAAATGATACAATTGTTTTTGGTAATGTTTGGTGTTTAAATAAAATTGAATTACCAACTTTAATTGGTTTATTAATTGAAGGTAAAATATTTAAAATTAATTCACTTTTAGATTTTGATAACCCAATTCTTGATTTTTGTTGATTAGTTTTTTCTAAAAAATATGTAGCTGATTTTTTTTCATATAATTTTGTTTTCCAATTCCATTCAATTGGAATAAAGAAATAATAATAATCTCCACTTAATATTACAACTTCTTCTCCATGTTCTGTAAATTGAATAAAAACTTTTTTATAGTTATTAATTTGATTATCTATTATTACTTCTTGTATTTTATATGATGGTGAATATTGTTCATAAAGATACATATATAATTTATATTGTATTTTATTATTATTAATTCTTTCTTTTCTAATTACTGCAATTATAAATCTTCCTTCTTCTTTAAAATATTGTGAATTTGTATATTTAATAGTTTCTATCAATTATTTTTAAATTCTATTTTCTTAAAATATTCTTCTCAAACGTATTAATTTATCTTTTCGGTATTGTGATGGTACATTATCACTTTTTAATAAAAATTCACTTTCAAAAACATGTGGATCAATCTCCATAATTTATTAATTACAATAAAATTCTTTTATCAGTTCTTTCCTTTAAATTATTTTCTATATTATTATTCTTTCTTTTCTAAAAATTAAGATAATAATGAAAACAAAAAATAAAAAACATAATTTATTTTTAAATTAAAAAATTAAATCTTATAATTAATTTAATATAGAAGAAAAAAAAAAAAAAAAAAGAAGATAGAAAATAAAATAAAATAAATATGAATGAAGAAAAGATACCACTAATATCAAAACCAATACATAATAAATTAAGAAAGATTGTTATTAGTACAGTAAATTCTTATAATGAAAATTATCATAATTTAGTATCTAATAAAGTAAAAACATCAAAATATAATATTTTCACATTTCTTCCATTAGTTTTATTAGAACAATTTAGGAAATTAGCTAATGTTTATTTTCTTATAATTTCAATTTTTCAAGTTATTCCAGGATTATCTCCTACTGGAAGATTTACTACATTATTTCCTTTATGTATTGTTATTATTGTTTCTATGATTAAAGAATTTTATGAAGATATAAAACGTCATAGAGATGATAATACAATTAATAATAAAAAAGTTCAATATTGGAAGAATGAAGAATGGAAAGAAATTCAATGGAAAGATATTAAAGTAGGAGATATTCTTTTTATTAAAAGAAAAGAAGCAATTCCTGCTGATCTTATTCTTCTTTCATCTTCAGAACCAAATGGAAGTTGTTATGTTGAAACAAGTCAATTAGATGGAGAAACAACATTAAAAATTAAAGAAAGTTTAACAAGTACACGTATATATCAAATTGAAATGAATCATAATGAAAGACATGAAATTGAAGTTGATGAACCTAATCCTGATTTATTTTATTTTAAAGGAAAAATAGTTGGAAAAAAACAAGAAGCTATTGGAATAAATCAATTAATATTAAGAGGAAGTGTTATTGAAGATACTGAATGGATAATTGGTGTAACTGTATATATTGGAAATGAAACTAAACAATTACAAAATGCAAAAGGAATTAAAATTAAACGAAGTTCAATTGAAAGAAAAAGTAATATTTTTGTTATTGGGATGTTTATTTTAGAATTAATTTTTGCATTAATTTCAACTATAATGGGAAGTATTTGGAGAATAAATAATAAATATTATTGGTATTTAGAAACTCAAGATAAAATTATTCCTAATTATATTACTACATTTATTACATTTGTTATTTTATATAATAATCTTGTTCCAATTTCATTATATATTTCATTAGAAATTGTAAGAATAGGACAAGCTTATTTTATTAATCATGATCTTGATATGGTTCATAAAGGTAAATTTGCTGAAGTACGTACATCAAATCTAAATGAACAATTAGGATTAGTTGATTATATTTTTACTGATAAAACAGGAACATTAACACAAAATTTAATGGAATTTAAAACTTGTTTTGTTGATGGTATTGTTTATGGTTTAAAAAATAATGAATTATCATTAATTAAAAATACATCTTCTTTAAATTTTAATAATAAATCAAATATAAATAATTCTAATTATGAAATTCAAGAATTTGATAATAGAAAATATGTTAATTTTAATCCAACTCAAATAAAACATGATGCAAAATATAATAAACATGTAAATGATTTTTTAAGAACTCTTGCACTTTGTAATACAGTTACAATAAATACTCATACTATTCATATAAGTTATCAAGCATCAAGTAATGATGAAGCTGCATTAGTTCATGCAGCATCTTGTTGTGGATTTGAATTATGTGAAAGAAGTAATGATAAAATAGTAATTAATAATCAAATCACAAATGAAAAAGAAGAATATAAATTACTTCATATTATTCCATTTGATTCAGATAGAAAAAGAATGAGTATAATTGTAGAAAGAAATGGTTGTATTATGCTTTATATTAAAGGATCAGATACTACAGTATTACCTTTAACAAAAACAAAAGAAAAAGAAATGAAAATAATTCAAAATCAAATAAATTCATTTGCACTTGAAGGATATAGAGTTCTTGTTGCTGGAGTGAGAAATATTACTAATATATATGAAAAATGGAAAATAATGTGGGAAGATGCTATTAATAATATTAAAGAAAGAGAAAAACTTATTATAAAAGCTTCTCAAAATATTGAACAAGAAATAGAAATTGTTGGAATTAGTGGAATTGAAGATAAATTACAAATTGGTGTTACTGAAGCTATTGAAAAATTAAAAGAAGCAGGAATTAAAATATGGGTATTAACAGGAGATAAAAAAGAAACAGCATTTAATATTGCAAAATCATGTAAAATATTTAAAGAAAATGTTTTTACTATTAATGGAATAACATTTAATGAAATTAAAGAACAAGTTAATCAATCAATTAATTTAAATGAAAAAAATTATATTATTGATGGAAGATGTATTGAATTAATTCTACAATTAGAAAAAAATATATTAAAAAAAATGTTAATGAATGCAGAATCTGTTGTATGTTGTAGATGTGCTCCATCACAAAAAGCAAAAATTGTAGAAGAAGTTAAAAAATTTGGAGGAACAACATTAAGTATTGGAGATGGTGCAAATGATTGTTCAATGATTAGAGCAGCACATGTTGGAATAGGAATATCTGGAGAAGAAGGATTACATGCTGTTAGATCATCTGATTATGCAATATCACAATTTCGTTTTCTTGTTAAATTACTTTTAGTACATGGACGTTATAATTATAGAAGATTATCATATGTTATTTTATATTCATTTTATAAAAATATTATTATGTATTTAACACAATTTTCATTTCTTTTCTTTAATGGATATTCTGGAACTTCATTATTTGAAAATTGGACACTTTCTATTTATAATGTATTATTTACTTTCTTACCTATTATTGTTTTTGGTATTTTTGATCGTGATATATTACCAGAAACATTAATTATGAATCCATATCTTTATAAATCTATTAAATCTTTATTTAATTATAAAACATTAATATTATGGGTTATAGAAGCATTAATAATTTCTATAATGGTATTTTTTATTCCTTTTTCAGTATGTATAACTGAAAATAATACAATAAATGGATTAGGATTTGGTATGTATGGATTTGGTTATATTGTTTATACAATTGTTATGTTAACAGTTACTATTAAAGTTGTATTATTTTCACATGAATTTAACTTTATTCAATATATAGCTTATTTTGGTAGTTTAATATTTTATTTTGGATGGGGATTTGTATATGGTTTAATTACTTGGATTCCTCCATTTACTATTGGATGGGATATGTTTGGTTTAATTTATCAATTATTATTAACACCATCATTTTATCTTCTTATCTTAATTCCTCCTTTATTACTTGGTGCAAAAGAAATGGTAATATTATTTATAAAAACTATAATTAAAAAAGATGAAAAACGAATTAGTGAAGAAGAAGTAGATGATAAAATCAGAAAAACTAAAAAACGATTTGATGATGTACCAAAAAATGATAAAGAACTCTTCTTAATTGCAACTTCAAATTATTTTATTTAATGAATATTTCTTAATAAAATAAATAACTGAATTATTTGTTTTATTTTCTATACTTAAAAATGATAAGATTATATCTTTAATATAATGAGTTTATCATAATTAAAATGAAAAGATAAATATATAAAAGAGATATTAATTAGAAAAATAATGTTGCGAATTGATGATTTGGTATTTTAAACAATTAAACCAATTCACACAAGAAGAAGTAGATCAAGTTTATACAATTAGAAAAGAAGTATTTTCTGAAGGTGGAGAAAAAGATCTTGGACATCCACCTATGGACGAAAGTGATCAATATTGCTATCATTCATTTGGTTGGGATGAAAATGGTATTGTTTGTTATTGTCGTGTTATTCAAGAAGAACAAGGAATATATAAAATTGCACGTGTTCTTGTACATCAAAACCATAGAAGAAAAGGAATGGGACAACAATTAATTAATTATACATGTGATCAAATAAAAAATTTGTTTAATGGTAAAAAAGTAATTCTTTCAGCATTAGAAGATATTCATACAATGTATTTGAAAATAGGATTTAATAAAACTGGTTCTTTCTGTGATTTCAATGGAATTCCTGCAATAGATATGCAAAGAGAACTTTAAATTGATTTGATTTCCTTCTTTAAAAATATTAACTATTATTATAGTAATACTTTCTAATTTTAAATAAATAAATTTAATATTTATTTTATTATTATAATATTTTAATTTTAATGTTGAATAATATATATATTTAATTATATTTATTTTAGATATTTTAAATTAATCTTAAAATATATTAATAAATTAAATTTATAAAATAATATTATTTATGAAAAACTATAATAAATTTAAATATTTAATATTCTTTAAAAAGAAATAAATAAATTAAATTTATAAAAAAATTTTATTTATTTTAAGAATTTAAATATTATTTAATTATTAAAAATAAGATTTATGATAAAATAAAAATTTAGTAAATGAAATAAATCAATCAATCGTTTATCTTTTCATCTTGAATTTATGATGGTTTAAATTGTAATTAATATTAATCATTTTGTTTAAGAGCCATAGCTCGTTGATATAATTTGATATGCATAAAATAACCATGCATATAAGGTCTTAAATATTCAGAACCAATAAATGAATCCATTCCAAGATCATGTAATTCTTGTTTAGTAACAAAATGAAAATCATCATAAACTGCAGTTGGTTCATCTTCTAATTCTTCTGTTAAATTTTCCAAGAAACTACACCATGAAGGTGCAATTCCTAATGATGGAATATAATATATCTGTAATTTAGAAAAATCACCTGCAAGAACACATAATCCAGAATCTTTTGCAATAGCAACATCAGTAATAACAGATCTTCTATTAGCTTCAAGTGGAACAACTAATTTACCATTAGATTTATTAGAGAAACGAACAATATTTGCATCAGCAGTAACTAAAAACTCACCATTTTGTGTTGTATGATATAATGTTTTAACAATAGGAATTCTATTTTGATGATAACTAGATAAAATTGGTTTTGAAGAACGTAAATCATATGTAAGAACATTACCGTTAGATGTTCCTACTGTCATTTGAAGATTTCCATCATATGCAATTGAAGTTACATCAATAGAAGTTAATGTTTTACCATTTACATCTAATTTATTTATAACTCCTGCATTAACATCTAACACACTAACTTCTTCTTCTGTCATTGGATCTATGATACTAACTATTCCACCTTCACATCCACAAAATAATAATTGATATTTTTCTGATATATCAAGACAATTAACAACATAATTCATTGGAATTGATTCATAAAATTTACCTTCATATAAATTAATAATATCTAAATTATTTGGAGTAGCAATATATGTATTACAATTACTTGGTAAATATTTAAAATCTCTTCCTGTTTTTGGAACTTTAATTTTACATTGAATTCCTCCTTTATTATGAAATTCAATTGTTTTATCAGTTAATAAAAACATTAATTTTGAATAATCTTCTTCAAGAAACTATATAATCAATTATTTATATATTTTATTTTATTTTTTTTGATTGTATTATTATTTAATAATTATAAAAAAACAAACTTCAAATTTGGTGATTTCAGCATCTAAATTTCGTTCGAATTTCTGTGACAACTGATCTAATTCAAACATCCTAATTCTTGGTGGATACATTCCAGTAGCACCAAGAAATTGTCCATCAGGAGAAAATTTAACATTTTGAGAATTTACTGGAAATTCTGTATCTTGAATTAATTCAATTCTCTTTTGGAAGTCTTCATCTTTTCTTAATTCTTTTTTCTTTTTTTGACTTAACCATTGTGGTAGTGTTTTTCCTGCTGTTAAATTATAAACTTTTACACCACCAGTCTCCGTTGTTTTCATTTATCAATTGTTTTTCCTAATTTTTTTTTTTAGGGTTATTTTTATAGTTTTCAATAGTTTTTTTTTCCAATTTCTTTTTGATGGTATAAAATTAATATTTAAAACACTCACTTATTCATTATCTAATTTATAATTCTTCAAAATATTTGTTAAATCATCATTTGTTACAATTTCATCTTCTTCTTTATCGTCTATAATGAGTGTATTAATTGGTTTTATTTCTAGCTCATTAAAACATTGTAAGACTTTATCAACACTATCACCACTTACAACAATACGTAATTTACCTTTAGATTTTCCTTTACTTTTATCAATTTCAATATTCTTTCCAGATTCAATCAATTTTTTAATATTTTCTGGAGATTGATCTTCAACTTTCTCAAATTCTTCTTTATTAATCATTTTCTTGATAAGGTCTAAGAATTTATAGTCATTGTTAATTGTCTTTTTTCTCAGGAATTCTAAGACATCAGTTTCTTCTATTTCATCATTTCCATCTTCTATTTTCTTTATTTCTTTAGTTTGTTCTTCTTCTTTTTTCTTTTCATTTATATCTTCTTCATGTAATTGTAATGTACCAAGTAATTCATCATCACTATCTTGGTCATTATCTTCTTCTTCATTCTTTTCAGAATAAGTATTATAAATTGTATTGTTTTGTTGTTGTAAAGCAACTATAGCATGTGTTTTTTCATCATTTGTGAGAGGTAATTTATCGATAAATATGTCCATTCCAAAATCAAATGCAGGAAGGAGAGTAGTAATTTTGAGACGATATTCTGGATGAGTAGCAATTGGATTTCCTTTTAGAGAGATTTCAACTAATGAAAACATTTTTGAGAAAGTTTCTTTGAGATGATTATAATCAAAAATCTTATTATTTTGAATAGATAAAGTAACTAGATTGAAGTAGGATGATAAATTAGTAATAGATGTAATTAAATTATGATCTAGATTTAATGTTGAAATAGAACCAACATATTTTGATTTAATACGTTGAATTTTATTATTTGATATTAATAATGTATCTAATGGTCTATCTGCAATATTTTCCAATACATTAATGGAATTATAACTCAAATCTAACCATTCTAACTTTGGAAAATGTATTTGATTAAAGACTTTTGGTGGGATTTTAGTAATACCACAATTTCTTAATGCAAGTTTTTTAAGTTGTTTCCAAGGATATTCTGGTTGAAGAAAAAGACTTGTTTGTATTGAAGGAATAACACAACCAATAATTTGAAGATTAGTTAATTCATCTTTTAAATTTCCAAATTGTAAATTGAGTTGACAATGAAGATTTTCTACAATAAGTTGTTTAAGATGAACAAAATTACAAAATTGAAATGGTAAAATGATATTAGGTTTATTTGACATTTCTTTTGGACAAATGATTCTAAGTGCATTTATCATTTGAAATGGAGATACAGTACTTGTTAAAAGTTCTTGTGATTCTCCATAAGCTTCATTTGTCATTCCATTAAATAATTCTACAATTGGAGCAGAAATTGTTGTTATTGAATTTGATGAAACAATAATTTCTTTTTGTTCTATATTTGTTTGTGAAAGATATTTAATAATAAATTGTTGAATAGATTCTTGTATTTGTGTTGGTTTCATAAATTTTTATCAATATTATTTTCAGTTTTTCTTTTTTTTTAGTTCTATTGAAAAATTATAACAATATCATTCTCAATGTTGATTATCAAAAAGTTATTAATTTAATCATAAAAAAAAAGAAATATCAATTACATTTATTCTAATATAATATTAGGACATCCACTAATATCAAAATGACAATGTGTATTTTTACTATCAATTTTTAATTGTTTTAATTCAGTACAATTAATAAGTTTAACATTTTTAACAAATTTACTTATTTCTAATGTTTTAATATTACATGAATAAAGAGAAATTGATTCAAGATGGTTTGTTTGATTTAATGGACTTAATGATGTTACTTTACAATATTTTAATTCTACAGAAACAATAGATTCTGGAAGATGAATACATGATTTTTTATAATGAAACATTCTTAAAAAAGTAAGTTGTGTAAGAGAAGCTAAACCTAAAGGATGATATTCAGGATTTGGAAGATCAGAATCTTCATTATCATCTTCTTGATCATAAGTAACTTCTAATCTTTTTAAAGATAAAGGAAATCCAACAATTCTTTTTCTTCTTTCATATGATTGAAAAACTAAAGAAGTTAAATTAGTTAGATTACATAAATTATATTGTGTTCTTTTCTCTAATGTTGATTCTTTAAATACTAATTGTCTTAATTCAATTTGATTTTCTACTTTAAGAGGTAATTGTCCAGTAATACTAAGTTTATATGTATTTTTTGGAATAAAACTATAAGGATTAGCATATCTTAAAGTAATAGTAGGACAATATAATTGAATAAATTTTAATTGTTCTTTATTTAATTTATTTATATCTTTTTGTTCATTATAATTATCATTAATATTGATTTCTTCTTGTTCATAATAATTATCATCAATACAATACCCTTTTGAACATATTCTTGAAGATAATAAAATATCATTTGTTTTTGCTTGTGATACAAGTAATGGATCATCTAATACAATTTTCCATTGTGATGGTAATAATCTTTTTATTTCAATAATTTGTTCATAACAATATGCTTTACTAATAATTATAAATCCAATTTTTGGATTAAATAATTTAGTAAAAGTAATAAGTACTTCTTTATGTTTGTTATTAGTTAAATCTGATGAACTAATGATTAAATGTTTTACACTAAATGTTGAAACAATTTCATGAATTTTTTCTTGAGTTAATATTTTAGCAAGAGCATCACAAATAACTTTAATTGATTTAACTTGTTTTGCTCTTTCAAATATTCCTTGAAGACGAAGAATATCTTGTCCAAGAAAATGGGGATATATATATTTTACTGATCTAAACTGAGAACATAAAGCAGCTATACCTTCCCATTGAATTGCATCATCTGTATCTTCAATACTAACTTCAATACTTTTATTTAATGCATATTTAATACCAACAGCATTGATAATATCATTAATTTTCCCTTTAATTATCTTTAAATTAGGTGATAATATAATTTCTTTTTTAGTAAATGTATGATTAATATTTGTATTAGTTGTTAGTGTTGTAATAATTTCTTGACATTTCTTATTAATCATTGTAAAAATTATTAAATCATTGACTGATCCTAAATATTGAATTATAGAACGTATTTCAGTATTTCCCAATAAATTATGTATATTATGTTGTGTGTTAATCATAAAGAGTGAATTAATGAGATTTATCCAGATCTAAAAAATTAAATATCACAATGAATTGAAGAAGAATTATAGTGTAATTATCTTATTCTTATCTTTTTCTTTTAATTTAAACAAATCAAATACTGTTTTTTTTCTTTATCAGTGTTTACCAACAAAAAAGAGAAATATTGTTAGTTCAGATTTTGTTTCTTTGCACTTTACTCCTTCTTCTTGCTACCAAACAAATTCTTTTGTGTTGTCTTCTTTTTGTAAAACTGACCATTTTCTCATATAAATTTCAAGTGAGTTCTAATGTAAAAAATTTAATCATTTTGATATGAACTTTTTTGAAGAAAAATAAACACGAATTAATTTAAGACATGTTACATTACAAGAACTAACAGTGTTCTTCAATAGTTTGAATAATGGAATGATAACCTTTTGTATCTTAAAATAATTTAGCATAAAATTGTCATTCTGAAACAATAACTAAATGAGATGGAACAAAGTATTAGTAAAAGAAATAACCAATTATCAAAATTATTTTAAAAGTGGAATATAAAAGAATATTTATTCTTTTATTTTATGAGAATGAAATTGTTGTTAATGAATAAAATTAGTTTTTTATTAAGTTATTAAAAATAAAAGATTACTAATAACTAGATTCATAACTTTTAAAAATTCATATAAAATATATTCCAAATAGTTAGTGTTATAAAATAAAAGAATATTAGATATAAATTATTATTATTTTTTTGTAGTAATGAATGAGTATGGTTGTATTATTTTTACTTAAAATACTTAGTTTGATATTTGATATTTAATTAATGTATTAAAATATTTTAACAATTGAAATATTTCAATTAATACATAAAGATAGATTGAAGAAATTAAAAAAAAATATGGTTAGTTAGTATTGAGATTCATATTGAATTAATTAAATCAATATCATCATCATCTAATGATATAAAATCATCTGAATTTAATTTTTTCTCTATTTCATTTTTAAATATAAATAATTTAGAAAATGTTTTGTTTTCAAATGATTTCTTGAAATGTTCATAGTCATTAACATGTTTAACTAGAAATACTAATGATATTGATGGATCTATCTTAGAATAATTCATACTTTTATTATCTTTACAAAAGTAACTTTGATATGACCAATCTCCTTTCATATCAATTGCATTTTGTGTAGTATGAGGATCAAGAAAGTATAAATTAGTTCCATCAAATGTATGGAAGTAATGAGCATATCCTGGTTTTCCACCAATCATTCCCATACATTGTGGAATATCAAAAATTGTTTTTAATAATGGTCTAAATTCATTTTCAGGTGATTCTGGACCAAGTCGTAATGGAACAAATATTATACATGGATTAAATCCTACTTCATCTTTACTCAACTCTTCAATCTTCGGTCCAACAATACTTCCTAATTTAGCAACATACCCACGTGTTCTAAAGACTCTCATCTCATTAATGTGTTCTGCAGCTATATCAGAAGCAAATGATGGTCCCCACCATTGTCCTTCAGTAACTCCCCTTGTAGATGCTCTTGCAACTAATCTGTGAATAGAAAATAAACTTCCAGTTGAATCTCCAAACAAATTAATAATTGATTTTATATGAAAAATATTTCTTTCTGTATTCATACAATTATTTTCATATTTCCAATTATTTCCAAGAACAATTGAAAGAAATGTTTGTGCAAGTACCATTTGTAATGATCGAATCATACATCCCCATCCTGAGTCTGTAGTTTTTTCTTTAATTAATGGCATATTTTTTCTGTATGTAATCCAAATAGTATGTCTTGCAAATTCATCAATATCTTTTTTATTCTCTCGTTTTTTAGGAATTTCAGTTTCATTTTCTCCCAAGGCAATAGCTTCAATTACATTTAAAGAGCCAACTTCCATAAAAGATGTTTAAATCACAAAATACGAGTTTTTAATTTTATTTTTCTTTTTCATCTTCAAACAAACAAACAAAAAAAAAAAAAAAAAAATCTAAAAACAAAAAATAATAAAAGGAATGAAAAGACCAGAAGTAAATATTGTGATTGAAAAAACCTCGTTTTTGATGGAAAAAATGGAATATATTGAACAATATGGTACAATTTACTTTGATAGATTGAAAAGATTAAGACCATTATTAGAAATTTCAGTAAAAAAAGTAGATAGTAATATTTGTATTGTTGAAAAATTATCTCATATTCCACAAGGAACAGTAGCTCTTATTGGTACTTTATTTAAAAAATCAAAAAAAATTCCTACATTATTAAATCAATATAAAAGTATTAAAAGTGTTGATTCAATTAGTTTTAATGAAGATTCATATGTTGATGATTCAGATACTTGTTATTTAGAAGATATAACAAGTCACGTAAATTTAATTATTAATAAAGATCAATTAGCTCATATTGTCAGTGGAACAGCATTGGCTGTAATTGGAGAATTAATTAATGATTTATCATTTGAAATAAAATCAATTTTATATCCTTATGATAAACCAAAACCAACTAAACTAATTGAAAGTGAAACTCATTGTTATATTGCTCTTGTAAATGATATCCAATATTCATCTGAAAAAAAAGATCTTATTCTTCATAATATCTTATCAAATGAATTACCTTTTCCATTAATTGCTCATGCTATTCTAATTGGAAAACATGTTTCAGACCCTTCTTTTATTCCTCAATATGATTGGTTTTTAAGTTCTGTTTGTAATAATCTCAATATTATTACTATTCCATCTCGTGATGATCCAACAAATGCTGTCTATCCTTATCAACCAATTCATCCATCAATATTTGCACATGCATCTTCAAAATCAACATATCATTCAACAACAAATCCATCAATTATATCATTTAATGATGTAAGAACATTAATATTATCAGGAGATATTATTCAACATTATTTGAAATTAACAACATTCAAAACAGTTAATGAGGTAATTCTACAATTGTTTCAATGTGGACATTTATGTCCATGTGCACCATCTACATTCCCATGTTTTCCTGCATCTACTGACCCTTTTATACTTGAAGAACCATTCCCTGATGTAATAGTAATTGGAGGATTTCCAGAACAATGTGATAGTTTTGATTTTATGGGAAAGACAATTACTATTGTTACTGTACCCTCATTTGCCAAACAAAAGACACTTGTGTTATTTGATTTTGAAAACAAATTAATTAAACCAATCAAAATTGATTGAAAATAAATTCAATTGACTGAAATGATAAGAGTAATATACTTTTCATCTAATTTTTATTTCAAAGCAACGAACTATTGCAATAACAAATGAATCAAAAAATGAAAGACCTTCAACTGATTTTATTAAGTAATGGTCTTTCTGTTTTGATAATTCATACTTAACAACTGCTCCTATTATTTTTATAAGTTTTATTTTTTTTTTTAATGACACAATCTGTATATAACAAAAAAAATTTACAAACTATTTTGTGGAGAAGAGAGTTGTAGATTCTTTGAAGATGGATAACAAGGTTCTGTAAATTGAAGGTACTTCTTTTTATCCACTAAAACAAATTATTACCTAAAAATTATTTAAAATAATACCAAACAAACTGAATAATTCTGGTTGTTTAGAAATTAATAAATCTTTCCCTTCTCTTCCAGAAGTATTAATTGTTCTCACCACCATATTAGTATGATGTTGAACATAAATGGTATAAAGATGAAACTGTCTAGAATACACTTTGTAACTATGACCTTTTCTTCTAAACACTCAATTTACCATTATTTTTTTTTTATAACAATATTAATTAAATACAACAAACTGAATAATTCCTATCAGTTCATTTCTCGAATTATAAATATGAATCATTGTATTAAATCCAAAACAATAATTAGTGTGATACGTTTCTTGTCCAACTTCATCAATTACCACATAAGAAGTCCATCCAATCCCAAGTTCAATTAATTTATATAAATGATATTGTTTTTTATCAATCTTTTTTGTAGAAGAAAATGAAAGACTTCCTGATGGATATATTCTTGTTGTTGAACACAACATATATTTTTTAAGTATTTTCTTGTTCAACAGAGAATTAAATTATATGAACCTTATCACTTTCATTGGATGACTTTCTTATCAGACTCCTTTTAACCTTCTTTTTTTAATTATCATTTTATCGTTTTGATATGTTTATATAAATCTGTCTTTCTCTGACTCAATAAAATTTGGTGGTACAAACAATTCATTTATACATTTAATCTAAGTTGTTGATTCTAATGATGTGAATAAACGAATTGAATTATATTAAACTTGGTTGTATTGTATCTTGTTTGTCAACACCAATTTGTTTTTGTTGTAAATACAATATGGTTTACTTCCTATAGATGAAAGCCATTCATTATTGAAACTTGACCAAACTTTACTTATAACTAAATGGATTAACTGTTTTAGCTAATTGTAATAACTGATATATAACACAACTACCCATACGTATTATTCAATAAAAACTATATTTTGTATTAAATAAATACTACATTGAGTAACGTATAACTTAACAACTAAATTAAAAGGACTTCATTTGGTTAAACAGCGCAACACCCTTTTTGTTTTTTGCGTGCCTCATTTTCTTCTGTTATAAATTCTTTATGTTCAAGCACATCTATTGTTAATACCTCAAAGATTCTGTTAATGTCTTCTCGTGTTTTTGTATTGCATTCAATAAAAGGACAGTTGGTACTGTCTGCATAATTTATACCTTCTTCTTTTGTTACTTGTCTGTCATCTTCTAAATCATTTTTATTACATACAATTATTATTGGAATA